AGGTTTGAAGGATGGAACTGGGATGTAGTGAAGTCATCCCAAATCGGAGCACGCACGCACACAAAATCGCTCACATATTTGTGCACCTTCACTTCTCAACACAGGGAGTTTGGCTAATTTCTAGAAGGAGCGCGGAAGGAATTGAACAAAAATGGATCAAAATTATCTCTCCGATAACTCAATTCCTATGTTTTAAGATACGTGGGGAATCTCCCTGCTGTTAACTTGGTACTTTATTCACACTTTTTAATTTATGAAATAATGGAGAAAGAGGAGCAGCCCAATCTTCTCCATGTTTACTGGGAAGTAAGTCCTGCTGAGTCCAGTGGGGTTTATTCTAGGAATGCCCAGGAATATAGAATTAGCGGCAGCCCTAAATCCACTTCCCTGGGAGTAAAATCTATTGAACTCAATGGGACCTACTTCTGACTAGGCATGCTAAGTATTGCAGCGTCCTTAGCTTTTGTAAGTTCAGATGTTCTCTGTTTAATGGATCTTTGTTAAAGCTAGACTTTGCTGGTGTATCTCCGCAGCAGGAACACGCACATGCTGGCAAACTTTTTTCCCCTGGTGCTTCGGTTGGACAACTTGGTATACGCCTTTAGAGTCTGACTGGCAGTCAATGTTAGGGCTGCAATCCCATGCCCAGTTTCCTGGGAGTAAGCTCTGTTTAACTTAATGGGATTTCCTACAATCCTCAAAGTACTTACTCCCGAGTAACACCAACGAACTTTATGAAATGCCGAACAAGTCGAACGAGGCTGGAGCTGCAATCGCCTTAACACCTAGAACTCGTCTTAAACGGGGCTGTGGATCAAGCTGCGAAAGGAAAATCGGGGCTTTTGAGGTGTGTTTTTTTTTCTTACCCTCCACGGTCTCAAGACAGGCCAAACTAGCACTTGATTTGGTATATTTTCTTTAGGCAAACTGCCTCAAGTTATGAAGGCAGAAGAGGGGGAAGAAAAAGCGTGAACAAACTGCACGTCCGGTTGTTACTTCCTCCGACTGAAAATGCGCAGCTCAAACGCACCTTTCCAAGTGAGCATGGATTACGGACAGTGTTCGGGTCCACTAAGAAACTGCCACTGAAATCATTGGGACTAATTGCTTCCTTGTGTAGGATTGTGGCGTTTTCTGGGGGGGGGAATGAAACCTTGGATTCAAAGCCTATGAAATAAAGTGCCGAGGACTGGAGAAATGAGGGCATCCTTTTGCTGAAGGAACCGCAGTTTTGCCTGAAAATCTACCCAAAGAAATTGAAATGATGTAGATGGCGATTCTTAAGCAAACTCCCACAATGCCTCTTCTCTGAGTTAATTTTAAGAAGTGAAGGAAAAAATATCCCAAAAAGAATTCTTAGCCAGCAGGAGCCCTGGTGACTTGGGAAGAGCAGATTCCCGAAGCTACTTGCCTTCCTTCCGACGGGATGGGCCTTTTTATAGTGTGCTTACAGCTATAGCAAACGCTTGATCAAATGAAAACAAAACAAACAAAACTCTCGGCTTTCCAGGCAACAGATGCAAACTGAGCGCATTAGAACAGGCCTCCTCATTCAGGCCAGAGTTGCCCGCAAGCAGGAGTGAAAAGGTAAACCCAACTGATTTCAATATAAGCTTTTTAAAGGATTAGGATAGAAATAGGACAACAATTTATACTGTAAGCTTCCTGGGGCAGGGAACTATTTGTTACAGTGTAATACACCATATACACTGCTTAGATAATAATCAACATTGATAGAATACCAGCCTCAAGCACATCAACTTGCAAGCAAGCCCCCTTGATTTCAGTGTGATCATCAGTGCAACCCTATACCTGCCTACTCAGAAGTAAGTCCCTTTGACTTCGATGGCACATACTCCTAATTAAGTGTGCCTAGAATCCTAGACATACTTTCACGGGAGTAAGTTCCATTTAACTCAATGGCATTTTAAGAAGTGAAGGAAAAAATATCCCAAAAAGAATTCTTAGCCAGCAGGAGCCCTGGTGACTTGGGAAGAGCAGATTCCCGAAGAATCCTAGACATACTTTCACGGGAGTAAGTTCCATTTAACTCAATGGCATTTACTTTCGGCAACTTTCATAGAACTTTTTATTAAGTATGCGTAGGACTCCGGCCTTAAGAAGAGAGATACAAAACAAAACAAAAAAACTGTTTCAAACCACTCTTAACTAGATACTGTAGTTTGTTCGAAGGCAGGACATATTTCCAAATCCGAGTGTACAAATAAAACGTCTGCTATCAACATTAGAGCGGCTCAGGTGTAAGTGTGACTTCCTTTCTGACCCAGCGATTGTTAAACCATAAAACGAAAAATGAAAGTCTATTTTCCCATCTCTGGAGGAAGTGATCCTACGAAATGCGGAAGTTAGAAGACTCAAGCGAGTAAGCCAAGCCACAAGGCAATCTCCACCAAATGGCAGGTGCATTTTATTTTAGGGTTTAGGATTGTAGGGGAAGAAAACGCAAGGACAATACATTTAATCTGACGCAACCCTGCCTCCAGAGGGATAGAGGTGGGTAAATCATCTCTCTCTGTGTGTGTCTCTTTGTTTGTAAAGGAGAATGAACATTATTTAAAGCAGTGCGCGGGGCTTATCAGAGCAGAGAGGCTGCTTTGAGCAGCTGTCTGCGGCGCTGGATGGAACTAATTATATCTCCTGCCGTCAGCTCAGCTCAGCTCGATTCCCGGCTGGCGCTGCCCACCACCCAAGCCGGCTGAGCGCTTGTTTACAGCGGAGGCTAAGACGCAAATCTCCCTGCGACTCCTGTCAATTTCAAGGCTGGCGCTGAGGAGGGGTTTCCGCCGAAAGCGCGGCCCTGCAAGCGGCTGCACGAAAAGGGAAACCGGCGAAATCCACACCATTGCGGATAAACTGCGGTGGAGAGTTTACTTACACCACTTTCAAATATAAGCGACCCAGCGAGGGAGACCCAGAGGGCTTCCTGGGCCAAATCTCAGCTTTTCAGTTTGTACTGCAAGTCCAGTTATACTGCTAGCTAATCGTATACCTAGGAATTGCCACTGATCTCGCCACAGGGGCCCCTCTAATTCCAGTAGGGCGCATTTTAAAGTAGATATCCTAGAATAGCAGACCTTGCGCCTAAGGTATTTAGATTGCAATCAATCGTCTTTACTATTATTATTTTTTAAGCGCACAACTCAACTTATTACTGAGTCAGACCATGTAGCACAATATTATAACTGGGAGCACTTTTCCAAGGCTGCAAAAAGCCATACCTGGAGACACCCCGAGTTGAACTGGGATCGTCTGAGTCTAAATGGGTTTAGGGTGCTGGCTTTGCGAGAGCGGGTTTGAGATCGTGTGCGACTCTCCGAACCCCCAATTCAGCTGATCTGTATTACAGTATAAGAAAGCTTAAATTAAATCATTCCGCCTTAACCTTCAAATAAAGTTCTTCTGGCTGCAATTTCACACACACTTCTGAATAGGCACGCATAGAATTGCACTGCTCAGTCATTTCCCCTTGCATCTGTTTACTTAGATCCTCAGCACATTTACTTAGGAGTAAGCGCCGTTGCTTTATATGACTCATAAAGTAAAAAAATTGTAATAACGCCTCAGGTTGGAGGGAAGTGAGTTTACTTTCCAGCTCCTCCCCACTCGATCGCCCTCGGGCTGTCGAGTCCTTTATCTGCTCAATTCAGCTTGTTTTGCTAGTTAAAGATACGGAGAGCAGGACTGTTGTCTATTTTTCACCTGCACGATTTTCGGGATGGTATATACGATTCAGGCAACAAGCGAGCAAATCTGTAGTGTTGGTAGGCCTTTGATCTTGGAAAACTTGACACTTTCCCCCCTAGACCGTGAGATACAAAATGTAATCTTCCAAAGTTTTCTTTTTCTTCCCTGAGTCTGACAAACCATGGACTGTTGGTGGAAACCCCAGCAGTCATGGCTAAAACACCGATCTCCCCTTTTTCTGGAACGTTACACACATCTCCCCCTCTTTCTTCTAAATATTGCTAGCAAAGTTTAGTTAAAGGGTTTATTTTGCTGTGCTTTTATGGTGAATTGTCTGACAATTGACTGACAAATCCTGTCTTGTCTTCCTCCCACAGAAGTCCTATCAGATGCAGTACATGTGACATCGGAAGGATTTGTATTTTTAATGGTGGAAAGTGCTTCACTGTCCCGGCTGCAATGGCCATCTCTCTCCTGCAAGTCTCTTGACTTCAGCAGGACTACTCCAGCACTAAATGCGTTGCAGATTGCTGCAAATACCTTTTATTTCTGCACTCAGGCTTCCGTGTCTGGTATTAAAGAACTCTCAGTCCGATGTTCAACACGTTTCGTTAAGCAAAAGGCCACTGAAGTTATTTTAAAGAAACGCCGTTTCGGGCCACAATCTACAATTTTTGAAACTTCAGAGCAGTCCTACAAAAAGTCACGGAAATCGCTCCAAAAGCAAGGGCTTCACTGCAACTAACAAACATAGGAACAAGGGAGAATGGGCGGGGGGGGGGGCTGGTCGCGATTCGCGGCTGCCTTGGCGTCCGTGGGGCTGAACAAGTTATTCAGCTGGTGGTGTCAGAGAGCGGCCACCCAAAACGTTGCAAATCGAGCTCTGAGTGTCTTTCTAACTGTGTGCAGAGAACTAAACGCCGGCCTCTCCAAGGCGACCCCGAGAGCTCACTACAGCCTCCGCTGACAATCGAGTAGGACCCTAAGAAGCCCCTGGATTGGCCCCAAAGATCCATTTAGCCCGTGGTTCTCTTTCGGGTCCTCCTAAAAGCCAACTGGTGCCTTCAGACCAGGAATTTGGGCGCGCACGTCCAGGATACCCCCTCGACAGAATTAACCCCAGTAGGGTTAGCTGACCCACCTTTGAAGCTGAATGCAGTGGCCCCCTAAGGAGGCGGAAAACCACTAAGTCCAGGGTCCTACATTTCTCAGCTGCATCCCCACCCGCCCACCTCCCTCGACCCTCGCGATCTGAAGGGGCAGAGGCGAATCCCCCCTCGTCCCGGAGGACTCACCTTCGGGGAAGACGGCTCTCATCTTGAGGTAGCTGGTGGTGAGGCGGATGATGGACGCCTTGTCGAGCTGCGACGTGATCGCCGACGGCAGAGGCAGCAGCTTGGCCAGCTCGTAGAACTCGCCGTTCTCCTTCTCGCGACGTGTCTTGGCGGCGTTCTTGGACTTCTCCTTCATCGCAGCGGCAAGTGTGGCGAGGCGGACGCGAGGCGGGCACTGGCATAGTCTCGGGCCCGCGAGGCTGCTGCAGGCGGGCCGCGAGCAGGGACTTCGCCTGGGCCTTCCGACGGCGGGCAGCACCAGCCCCCGAGCCCAGACCGGGAGGAGCGTGAGGTGGCGGCGCCCGGTTGCCTCCTCTCTCCCTCTTCAAACGGGCTGGCGAGATGGCCGTCCGAGAACGTCGGCGTTTCTCTCTCTCTGCGCTACGCCTCAGCGCAGCCTTCGAATGAAGCAGGCGGCCACCCGGGCGGGGAACCTCGGCTCGGCGGGCGTCCGAGGACTCGCTCGCTCGCCCGGAAGGCAGGGAGGAATCGCTCGCTCCTTTCCCTCCGCCTCTCTCCCCGCCCCCCTTAACACGTGTGTACTTGCTGTGTTTATTTTAGACCCCCCTCCGGGCCAAACTGGTCTGCCTTGTGCGTCACACGCGCCCCAGCCCCTTCCGCGCCCCTCGGCCGGGAAGGAGAGCGGCTCCCAAAGGAAGGGCTCCGCGGGGATCCGTTTCCCTCAGAGAGAGCCCGGAGTTGCCACAGGGCGTGTGGGGACGTCGCTCTCTCCCGCCCGCCCCGCCCCTCGAGGCAGCAGCGAGCGGCTCTCGGCGGTGGGCGACGCAGACCTGCCGCTTGGGCACTTGGTGCGCCAGCAAGCCTGAGGGGATCTTTTTCCTTTCTTTCTTTCGCGCCAGAAAGAGAGAGAGAGAAATGTCCACCTCCCCTGGCTCTCTTCCCTGTCCAAGCCTCTCTTCACGGCCACCGGAGCGAGAGGAGAACGCTTCCCGTCGCTTCGCCGGGCTAGCGAAGGGCGGCTGCGCTGCGGAGCTGTCGCCGGGCGCCGCTTCTCCTCCGGGCGGCAGCCGGGCTAGAGAAAGAAGCTCTGAAGTGGGCTCGTCAGTTCCTGGCGAGGCAAAGGCTGAGAGCCGCCGGAGGGGAGGGGGAAAGCGCGCCCAGTGACGTCTGCGTGGTCTGCTCAGGGCAGCGGCAGCGCCGTCCAAACCAGCCAAATACAGGCCCCATTAACATTCGAATTGGAGGGACGAGGAGAGCGCGCGCGCCGGGTGCGTGCGAGTGGAGGGAGGGGACTAACTGGACGCGGGGAAGGGGGGGGGCAGGCAGGGTCTCTCTTCGAATGGCGCGTTCCTATTTCCACTCTTATATCCTGAAGCAAAGCGCTCTCTCTCACACACTCACACAAATAAATAAATAAATAAACCCCTCTCTCTTTCTCTCGTTTCGCAGCCAGCCTGCTCCATCCACAAGCGCCTCAAACCACCAGCCTTCTGACAGCCCTCCCTCCTCCTTTCAAATATTGCGTTGACTTTGCAAGTGGATCCCCTCGATTCCGAGGGCCGGTCTTTCCAAGAAGGCCCCGCTTCGGGCTGGCTTGGCTCGAGTGTCTTTTCCCTCTGCGAGGGACCCTCAGGCCCGCAAGCCTCGACGCCCGCCCTCGCGACCCCTGGTGCAAATGGCGCTGGTTTCGAGGGAGCTGCTCGCTTCCAAGTGCAGACGTCCTGCCGAGGCCAGGAAGGCGCTTGTCTTTCAGCTTTCTGTCCACAAAGGAAGGATCTCGAAGGCAGTCGGTGGAAGGTCTTTCCAAGCAAACGCCTTGCCTTGTTTAAGATCCTACAGCTTTCGACAGAATCTAGGCATTTTGAAATAAAAAATTCCGGCCTCTGATCCGCGCCGGATCCAGAATCCACCTAAAGCAGCGGTCCCCAGAGCACTGAACTCCCTGCAATTTGTTTACTTCTGAATAAACGTGCTTAGGATCTGATCGCGCTGGAAGTTAAGGTTCCTTTGGTCGGTTAAAGGTCCTTAAGTTGCACTAGTTTCCACTCAACTGACCAAGCTTGTTACCTATTAAACTGGGAGTGAGGCTTCAGCGGTTTCTGAGCAACCATATTAGTTAATGGATCCTGACTGGGTTATTAATAATACATTCCATTAAAACGGTGGGATTTCCCCTCTAGTGAGCAAGAAGAAAGTTTGGGGTGTAAAATCCCCTCTGGACTCCCAAGCATGTTATGAAAGAGCGGATCAACATTACTTAGGCGCCCATCCTTGACTCACTTCTCTGCCCCACTGAACTCAATGAGGCTGGCTTCTGAGTTGACAAGCATACGATTGTGCTGTTAGTTAATCGTGTCCTCCTCTTCCAAGTATATATGCAACCCCTAGGTCTGTCACCAGACTTCAACTCCCCGTCGACCTAGTTGATTGCTCACCCCTATTCCCAATGTTCATAGGGATGCGCGATCCTGCACACACGTCTCTGAGGGTCAGTCCCTCGCAACTCTGTGGGACTTTCTTCTGAGTTTAGATTTGCGGGTCCCCAATAGCTCTAAGACGCAGTAACGTAGAGGCCCAGATCTACTCGAGAGGCGGAATGGGGGAATCCAGTAACTTGGCCTACACTCAACCTTGGGACCCAGCATACAGACCCAACGGCCCATCATCTCTGGCCGTTAGCTGAGCTTCCTTGGGTATGATGTGGGCTCTTCTCCAAGAACTCAGAAGTATATGATTTTCTGCAATCCTATACACACTCACTGGATAGGAAGCTTCATTTAACCCTGTGGGATTTCCATCCATTGAATTGCCCTAGCAATACAGGGTCCTATGCGCTTACTCAGAAGTCACTCTTCCCCGGGAGTGAGCTCCACTGAACGCAGTGGGAGAGACTTTTGTGGACATACGTGCAACCCAGGAGGAAGCCTGAAAAGGCCATATCTCCTCGCCTACAAGCCTATCTTGCGCCCAAGTGACTTCCTGCAGGAAAGTCGCATGCGCCAGGCAATGTACCCCGAAGTGTCGCCCATCGAGGCCACCACGATCCCAAGCCCACTTTAACTGCGCTGCCGGCGGTGGAATTCATCCCACCTACGGACTGCTCAGCGGCAGGCGGCTGGCGAGGACCGCGCTTGTCCGTCCTCTGCAGCAATCAGGCACGCCTTGGGATTGTAGGGGATGATGGAGGGGCCGCCGTCGAGCAACGCGGCTGGCGGCTCTGGGACCAGCGAGGAGGGTTGGGTGTGCTGGTGATTAGGGGTTCCAAACTCTCCGATCTGGAGCTTGACCTCACAAAAGGATGGATCTGCTATTGAGGCAAACTGACCGGCATTTACGCAATCAATGGACAGGAGCCACTGAGAGTCTTTAGGGCAGATGGTGGGGAGCCTGTGGCCCTCCCAATGTTCTTGGACTCCAACTCCCATCAACCGCAGCCAGCATAGGGAATTGTTGGGGATGGCGGGAGCTGTAGTAGCCTTCTCCTTTGGAACCCAATCGCGTTGCTATATTCCATAGCCTTCCTTTTCTCTGCCGCTCGATCCTAAAGACTATATTTACTTATAGAATCATGGCAGAGTTGGAAGAGACCTGAGGATCATTTAATCCAGCTCCCTGCAATGCAGGAATATGTAGCTGGCCCGCACGAGGATCGAACCCACGACCTGGGCGTTGTCAGCACCACGCTCTAACACGTGAGCTAGCCACCTTGAATATTTGAAAGTAAGCTGCGCGAATTAATGCGTGCAGCTCGATCCTATATATGCTTGCCTAGAAGCAAGTTCCTCTGAATTCAGTAGGTCTTGCAGGCTGAGCGGGCGCCTTCTTTCCAAGCGAAGATGCTCCGAAGAAGGGAGGTACCTGCGCCCCAATCTGCCTACTTACACATCGTATTACCTGAACGAGAGACGGGCAGACAGGGAATACCGTAGTAACTTACATCTGAGCAAATATGCATCCGTTTAATCTCTACTCAACATGGAGTATCTTCTTAGGCGTTTTTAGACGCGCAGAAACGGTCTAAATAGCAGTGTAAGTAACACAGTGTATATACGCTTTTGAGTAGTCCGATTAAATTCGACGGGACTGTCCTGGCGTAAGCAGGACTGTGGTTTGCGGCTCTGGGTTCCTTCCCATCAGCTCGCTGCTGCTGCTTTGCCCGAGTCCTCTGACAATGCATCTGCTTTGTGAATTCATGCCTCGCACACTGACCTTAGCGAGGAGGATTCCGAGGTGTTTTCTGAAGCCTGCAGAGGAATCGGATGGAAATCTACATCCTGCGAAGCTCCCCGCTCTCTCCCTCCCTCCCTCACACACATACACAAGGCACACACTCTGTCAGCCCTAAGCAAGTTTTATTGCAAGTGAACCCCATGACGCTTACTTCCGAGGAAGCGCGGCTCTGCTCGCATCTGAAACGCCTCTCATAGGGAAATCCGATTGTCTTCCCAACCCTGCTGCGTCCTTTTGACTTTCAGGGCTCGGAGGGGGACAGTTCCCCAGCAAAGCTACTCTGTGTCTACACCCGGCCTCTGCCAGGGGCTCCGTTGCGCCTTTAGGCGAGAATCGCACAAGAAAGGCTTTTAGGGAACCGGTCGAGGCAATTCCTCCGCAGCCTGGGCCGCGGTCTCACCTGCGCTTGGAAGGCAGGCCTATTGAAATGAACCAAACTTCCTGGTACATCTTCCTGGTACATCTTCCCTGCTCCCTGGGAAGTGGATGGAAACGCTTTTAAAAGCCTTAACACCATCCTTTAGATTTGGAAGTAGCGCCTGCATGGCAGAAGGAGCCATTGGTAGCCGCGCATTTCTCAGGTCAACAGATTGCAAACATCGTATTAACACCAACAATTTAATCCATTATGGGCCACTTATTTAATTCTTTTGAATATTACAGAACATGAGGCGCATTTAATAACACTTTAAAATAGGTGATTCGTAGTTCAATCCTAACCTCGTCTACTCAGAAGTAAGCCCTATTGAATCCAGTGGTTTTACTCCCAGGTACTTGGGAGGGTTAGTATGGCAGCCTACGAGCTCCGATGACTTTAGCAAGGTTTATTTCCGAGTAGACACGTGTAGGGTTGCGCTGTTAATATATTTCCTTGCTTACGATGCGAGGAGCTGAGGCAGCCTAACTGCTTTCTCTGGGCTGGTATTATTGACAGTAGTAGGACTTTCTTCCTCACAAAATTACATAAGATCAACGACTACGAGACTAGACATCCCACCCCCCTCTCCAACACACATACAATGAGTGACACGTCGCGCTTTTGTGACAGTTAATGACATGGGACTAAACCGGCTTTATTCTCCATTTAGAGGGTTTAGGATCCCGGGTGGTGCAGACCTACCAAACAATTGCTCTCAGCAGTTGGGAAGAAAATGAATGTGTGTGAGCGCTGCTGCGCTTAAACCACTCTCTGAAATCACTTAGTTGGTTGGCCGTTGACTTCCGCAGGAATCAAGGAGCCTTGCTTCCACCTAAAGTAAACCCTTTGCGCTTTTCCTATTGACAATCCCCAAAGCCACAGAATACAATCTGGATGGCTGAGGCTTGGGCTTCGCTCTCTGGAGACAGAAGTGCTGCTTCTGTGTATGTGGAAACAGAGTAGACACAGGCAGGATCACAGATCTGTTCCTGAACTAGCCGGGATGGAACATTTGGGTTTAAACCGCTTTGTCCCAGTTTTCTGCAAAAATGTGCTCCATGAGTTGGAAACCAAGCCGGCTCCAGATCGTTGGCAAAAGTTCTCAGGCGGTTCCACACATTAGGCTTTCTCTCTCTTAAGAGTGTCTGATTTTGCTGCACCCATCACGACACGAAAAACATACTTTCTACGTCTGTAACTTTCAACTTCGCGGTGGTGAGACCGACTAACTCGGCTGAACAGGACACGAATAGCGGGACAGCGGTACTTTGCTCTTAGGACAGAGTTAGACAAACGACGCATTCCGTATTAAGTATTCCTTAAATAGGTTTAGCATAATCAGAGCTGGCTCTTTTAAATTGTGACTTGTGAGGGTCAGAGAGAGAAATCCTGAACAATCCTGGTTCAGCAAGGCGTCGAAAGCGCTTCTCTCACACCCGGTTTGGAATCCTGCAAAATAACACCACCACCACCTTTCCTGAGGCGGTCACAGATTAACAGACCCTCCCAAAGAGATCCCCTTCTAAGCAAACCTCCAGCCCGAAAGTGACTGCTTTTGTCCAAGATCGCTGCCTAGGACGATAAACAGAAATAAATTAAATGGCCCGGTAATAAAAGATCAGCTTCTTCTAAAATAAACAGCGACAGTTTGGTATTAACGACGGTTCCTGCTTGACTGGCCTGACCAGCCAAACCAGAGCGCTCCGATTTAGACTCACTTCGTGCCCTCCAAGCAAATGAGAGACTATTGTTTTGTTTTGTGTTTTGTTTTTAAAGGGGGAGGGTGTCCTTAACTGGGTTATGGGTAGACTTGTAAGAGTTACCGTACCCAAGGAGCCCAGGGTCAGGCTGAAAACAAGGTAAGGGGGGAAAGGCGGAAAATGGAATATACCCAATCCGGAATCCCCAGAAGCAGAGTATTACCATTGCAGAAGTTTTCATGGCGCATATGCTTTTCACAATTCTTATCTGACGGATCTTTCCCACATCGCCGTGCAGAAAGAATCGTCTGAAGTCACTTACCCTATATTTGCTTGCATTTTAAAATAAATGCAAAACTGCTGCCACCCCTTTGGCTTCCCAAGGCAGCAGGGATTTGAGCCGGGATCGCTGGAATCCGGGCCACTTGCTTCTTTCTCGATCGAGCAACCCGGGGTCCGCTTCTGATTCGCTTCGCTTGCAGGTTTGGCCACTAAGCGAAGATAAATGGCATTAACCTAACTCTACCCCTTTGTCTATCGCTTTGTAAAATCTAAAGCAGAAACCCCCTTTAATCGGCGAGTTAATACAAATACTATTCTTGGTGTCAAACAACAAGGGTTGGGGAGGTGAGCGCGCGCCTGTTCATTTTGGGGAGAGGTAAGCGCCTAAATGAG